CCCTTCTTCTTATTTGCTTCCGTTCATTCCCACGCATTCCCGCCGGTCTACCGTCTTCAACGTGGGATTCTCCTTGTTGACAGCGAAATATTCATTTACACAAATGCACAAGCCACATTGCAATCCCACTACTCATTCACAAATAAAATCTAACCACCATCGGATACTGCACCGCAGCACACCGCAGCATAGATCTCCCTAACGATGCAACCAAATGCCGCCTCGGCCCGTGTCATCTACGCGACTATGCGCGGGTTTTAATACTGTCATTGGATCCCCGCATGGTGAGATCCCCGGTGCTGTGCGCTAAAGGCGCGCTAAAGATCATCTGCGTAAATGCGATTCCATCCCTGCCCGTAAGTACGAGGGAGAAGGAGCCGCAGCAGGGTGCAGTGCACGGTGCATGCCGCTTCCGTGTCAGGCGGCCGCCGTGGCCAACATCCAGGATCATGGTCGGGAGATCGGCGCGTCCGATGATGCGTGCACAGTTTATTCGCCGGACGCTCAGGCTCGCGGAAAGACATTCGACAGTCTGACCCAAGGAAAAGGCAGCTGTAGTCAGACTCTAAGTATGCAGCTTCAACCGATTCGGGCAGCTTCATCCGAATCGGAGAACAGCGAAGTGTACGCGGAGAACTACTGCACTTTAGCTCAACTTGATCCACCTCGAAGACCGGCGAATTCAGCAGCTATTTGTAGGACCGGGGCATCGGCGCGTCCAGCGATGCTTTCAGAGATGGGCATTGTACGAGGTAGCGCTTAGCATCTATCGCCAGTGGAGGTGTTTGCCAGTGTCAGAGGCGGCGGCCGGACGAAAAGTCCAGGCCCGACAGATACAATGCATGAGGTTCGGTAAATCATTTGTTGTTGGTCCTGTCAGACCAACGGCACAATTGGACAGCAGCGCAAGGCCAAGACGGTTGAACGGAAAGGAGTTGCAGCAGGACTCAAAGACTCTGGAGAGTATTTTGGAAAAAAAAAGGAGTAAAACCTAGAGGGAGACGCGCAGAATGAGGGGACAAAAATATGGCACCAAAGAATTTCGAAGTTTTTAGAAGGCGTTTTCAGAATTGTCGTGGTCTTGGTTCAGAAGCTGGGACGGCACATGGACATGATGTCAGGATCATGATGCGGTGCCGAAATCACCCGACGGTTCAACTCTTTCCTCTTCCACGTATCCTGCACCCCCTCGTCGCATCATGGGTTATCACCTCGGCTCATTTCTGGGACGTTCCTATCCTCTGTTTTGGCGAAATTCAATTCGCCTACCTTTCAGCGGAGCGCTGTAACGTGACAATCTTAATAGCGGTCTCGGACCTGCTCACTCCCCAAACACTTTGAATCCTCACAGTTTCTTCGATTAACTGGCGGCCGCTCTCAGTGCCTTCTGAGCCACGAAACAATGTTAACTCACGAGTGCGCAGCCCAGTCATTACACCGTATGAGTCGATGTGCCCCGAGGATTCTCAGGCTTGGATTGCCGATGGATGCGTGGTTTCTCGAGACCGAACCTATCTGATCCAGGCCATCTCCGGGGCACCATGGTCTCCGCGCAAGTTTATTGTCGCCCTTTCACGTATTCAGAAGATGAAAGTCAGCATATGGTTTGTGCAAATCTCGGATACTAGTGCTATACAACTTCCTTTCCCGGGACGTGTCGGAACCAATATTGAACAGCTGGCAACACCCATCACAGGTATCTATCCTCCTGCCAAACCTCATCCTCTATACACATGGAAAATTCGATTCGATCGGAGTTGCGCGTCGATACGGCTGAATACCGACTCAATAACCGACCCCGAGGATTCAGTCTGTGGCCTCACGCTGCGCCTTCCAAGTTAACGTTCAATGTCTCAACATACTGTAATTATTGGCACTAGTGCATCCTCGAGCTCACTTTTCTGGTTCACCTCACAAATAAAATTCTGCTACCACGTCAGGATTGACAGGCCAAATCGGATTTCCACCGTGTCCGACGAAGGAAATAACCAACAGCAGAACTAGACCTCATACCCACAGATTCTGATATCTCGCGAGCGATGTCTCTGGCCAGAACCGAGCTATACAACTACTGCACGCGAGGCCGGAGATTGTCCCGGTCTATTCTATGCTGCCCTATCGACAATAACGCCCGGAAGTCTTTGCGCGATCTCGTTAGCTTACTTTTGGGAAAGTCCTGTGTGTAAAAAACCTCTTCTTGATAAACTCTGAACCGTCGTTCGCCGTCTGCGCCTGGCTATCGAAATCCTCACGACGCATTCTGGAAAATATCTCGTCTCAAGGGATGTGCACCGAGTTGCGAGACAGTCGGCACATCTACTCAATACTGATTCGGATCTTATCGCCAAAAAATACCGAGCTGATTCTCGTACGTGTTTCTAGCGTTCCTAAGCTCTTAAGCACCCAGTTGCGAGACAAGTCGGCACATATTCAATACTGATTCGGATCCTATCGCCGAAAAAAAATGCGAGATGGTCTTCGTACGTCTCCTAACGTCCCTATTAATAAACTCTTGCGCACCACGTCTAACTGGCGTCTTTCCGAAGAATCCAATTTTCTCCAAAATTTTCAACTTCACTCCCGGGGTTCACAAACAAAATAACTGATTGCGGAACTAGACGATTCGCTTATGGGATATCTTCCGAGCAACACAGGTCCCGATATCAAGTACTCATTCAAACCACTCGATACCGAACATGTTCCTAGCGCTTCTGGATCTATGCCCGACTTACTATAAATTCCAGCCATGATTTTCCTGTTCGGCATATTACAATGGCAACTCCTATTCGTCGCTTCACTCAGCTCCAGAGCCAGCACCCCGAGCTCACCGACTCGCAGCTGCTCAACTCCAACAACCAAACAGCCTTTACCGGCAAGGCGGACGTGGTGGTCGCCGGCGCTGGCATCCTCGGCCTGTGGTATGCCATCCACCTAAAGAATATTTCGCCCGACTAGGTCTTCGAGAAGAGCCGTGCTCCGATTCAGAAGATCGGAGAGTCGACACTCTCACCCTTTTCGACTTTCACGACGGGCTTTTGCTAGATCTGCCCTCTTCAACAATGGCGCCAGGAGCGTTTGCAATGCATCCTTTACTGGGACTAGGACCGCCTTGAAAAATACCTCCCTGAACGCATGTGTAAGGGGGAAAGTGTGGAGAACAGTGGTGGGTAGCACATACGCGATGACCTGTTCATTGAGCAAAGGTTGAATGTAGTCATCCTCAGGGATAATCAATGGTGGGCTTTCTGTAAAGAACGCGCGGATGTCGCCTTCTAGAAACCGAGGAAGGATGTTGTTCATCTGAATCAGAGTGGTGGCGGCCCCGCAGGCCGCGAGCGAAGACGAGGAGGGGGAATGGGTACGACTTATAGTCAATTTTGTCTTCTTTTTCTTCTTGATGGGACCAGGGAGTGGGTCGTGTGGACACTCTGGGAGGGGACTTTCCAGGTAGTCCAGCCATTTCGCCGGAGTTTTGAAAGGTAAGTATTATGGGCATCGTATTGCTGGACGGATTGATGGATTTCCCGAAAAGTGGATGCGGGCGAGACGATTTATTTCACTGTGACAACCGATCTTCTTGACGACCACCACCGCTACTTCAATGTCTTACGAGGCTGTTGCGCGCTACCAATTCCGCGAACTGGATTTCAACCCGCGCTCCGAAGACGATGTCGAGATTGTCTACCAGGAAACAATGGAGGCGCGTTATATTGCCCTCAAGAAACCGTTGGAGACCGGACTCCGTTTCACGCTTGATTTGGAAGTTCCACCGCACAACCCAGATCCAGGATCACGCCCTTTACCCTTTATTCCTAGGACCGATCCCGGTACCGGTGTCGTGCTACGGTTGCACGAAGTTCTGCAGCCGGGTGTAAACGCATTTTCGCAGGTGTGGACGGCCAACGTCGTCGACGCTGAAACGCGTCTCGTAATGAAGATAATTCAGCCCTCTCTGCTCCGTTTACCCTCTGACTGGGCGAATGAGTACTACGACCCCTGGGATGTCGCACACAATGAAGCCTGGGCGTATCAAAACTTGTACGCCATCAGGGTCTCTTGATCCCGTATTTCTTTGGCGTTTTCGAGGTACAATATAATCTTTGCAGTAAATCCGTCCTTCATCTGGTCTCAGATAGTCGCCCCGTGCGGAGAGCTCGCTTGGGTGCTGATACTGGAGTTTATCCCGAGGCTCACAGGGAACGACGTCGATGAATCCACGCCAGAAGCTGACATCCACGATTTTGTGCGCCTTCACTTGAGGTGTCTTTACCTTGATCTGACCCTGCTCAATAAGTGCGCGCTCGGTGTCGACGCCGTCCGAGATTTTGCTCGCAGTGGTTGGAGTCTCAGAGACATCCGGGCTCCCAACTTTATCCTCACCGGCGCACCGGGTGCATGGACAGTCGTCATAATCGATCTCTTCCTCGTGCGGCCCTGTGGATCATTGAACCTCGAACGCGTCGCCGAAATCGCAGCGGGGGAGTTCTTTTTTAACTTTCGCCCTTTAGCGTGCGAGACGTCTGCCCCGGCATTTACAACTGGGCTCGAAAAAGACCTCCCCCGTCTCGTCTGGTCTTTCAGAGAACAGTCCAGTTCTCTTGGTTCCGAAGAAGATCCCTCCTTTGAATCCGGGTCGGAGACGAAGTGCTGGCTGGCGATGCGGCGTAATGGGGTTGATCATCAACCTTGGATAGGAGACGATTTTGATGTGTAAGACGGCTCGAAGTGAAGGTTCTTGATGGCCAGCAAAGCGGTGCGGGCCGTGCAACTACTTTGTCCACAGACCACGCGGACATGTGCCCGACTTGTGGACTGAAGGACTAGGATACTGTATTTTGGGGAATAGTTTTAAGTCTAAATTTGATCTCGACTTGGTGCTTTTCAGCAAATACTTCTTGTGGGATACCTCCAAGCGCCAAATGCTGAAAAGACCGGGGAAGGGCTGGGGACTGGACAACCAAAAAAGAAAGAAAAGAAATAACTTCGAAGTGCAAAAGGAATGGCATCTCCGGGCTTGAAACACGGGACCTTCAGATGATCTTGCTAATCGCTTCAGTCTGCTGCTCTCCCAGCTGAGCTAAGACGCCCTTGTGAGTAAGGTGAGTAGGGACGATAACACTGACAAGAAGGAATCGAAACCTTGAAAAATCAATCATTTCCGCGATGCAATATTCTGGGATACGCACCGGCCGGGTATTGATGGCTGATGTATTGGGATGCTCTTGAAGTGGGGCAGGAAGAATGGAGGGAGAAGTGGTTGAAGCAGTAACTGAGAGAATTGAATTCTGCCGTCCGATCGCCGATCAAAAATTCGGAAAGCGACTTGAGTCTTGAAGTCAAGCCAACAGAATCTACGTATGTACCGGGACGGTCCACCGGATGTATGGAGGACCCGGCTGAGTTCGAAGTGCGGAGACATGGAGTTTAAATTGTTGAACTTTACCATTCGGTCACGATCGACGATCGCCCATGTTCAAGTTCAATGATATCGGTTTACATAAATTTCATTCTTGGTGCTTTGAGTGGTATATGAAGGCAAGAGCAGCCGGAAACACGTCTGCTGGGCTTCCAGCTGAACTATAGAGCCAGTAGATATAGTTTTTTTTGTTCACTGAAGATGTTCCAGATATAATCTGTTCACAGAAAACATATAGTACTAGCATCTGTACACTGGCGGGTCAGCTTTGGAATACATACTCAAACTTGTAGCGGAAGACTTAGAAAACATCTGCTGGTCTTCCAGCTGAGCCATGAAGCCATGATTTCGCTATGGTGAACAGAATTTGTGGCTGTGCGCAACACCTGGGGCCGTTCTCACACTCGGCTCCGCTTTTCAACCATCGCCGATGATGTTTCAATCCAAGACGTCTGGTAGGTGCCTTTATCCATGGTTGTTTCGTGCGATCCCTCGATACAATCGATTTCCACGTCAAGACGTGATTATATCATACGCACCCAAGCGTTTGAATTCTCAGTTCTTGCACGATTCTCCAGCTTCAGCTTGGAGGTTGGTTAATACTGGGGTTGCAAACTTGCAATTGCACGTCCTTGCGCGCGAGGCCCTACACAATTCCTAGACCACGACAACTGTCTACTAGATGTCGGGCGAGCCCTCGGACTTCTGCCCACACGGTTGTGGCATCTATGAAATGCATGGGAATAGTATATGAGAAATACACCCCTCAATTGGCCCGACAGACATTTCATCATCCTAGGCATGAACATTTTCGTGGAGTCTTTCCGACTTCTATAAAAACAACCAGCATCTCTCGGACGCCTCGCATATCTCTACGGGACCGTCTTCTCAATTGGCAGCTCCGTATACCTGTAAAGCTTTGGAGGAGCACTTGACGTTTCAGCTACTGACAGAATGAGGGCCTTGGGATTTATCTCGCTTACAATCAACGTTGCGCTGGTCATTGGGCAAGCGCCTGTCATTGTGCGCGACGTTCCTCCATGCTAATAGTACTCTGACCTCGTCTTAGCGAGAGGACAAAAGAGCGTTCGCGGTTCTGGACCCTCTCGGCCCTTTCCGCAACGGAACTCAGAAATTTGAGCCTACACCGAACGTGAACCTGACCCCTCCGTATTTTCAGGTGTACGATGAGAGGTTCACGGCGATTCTGGGCCTGAATCCCACCATTCGCGTCATCGTGGAAAACGACACGTTCGCGTTCGCGCATGATGGACCGATTTGGGTTGAGGAAACGGACGAGGTTTTCTTTAGTGGAGGGAGGACCGAGGGGCGTCCGGTAATTATTTTCGAGTTATTCAATGGTACCTTGAGGTTGAACAGCGGCCAGGTATCCGTCATAAACCTGAATGATCTCAAAACTAGCCCGACAGGTTTAATCAACTTTACTATCGTACGTGAAATAACACTGCTCGCTTTCGTCACTAATTTTCGCAGCTCCCACTCAGCGACGACGTGCAGATAAATAATGGAGGAACACTGTTCCGTGGCGACTTGCTACTCGTCACCTACCGGATCCGGCCCCCTTCCTCCGAGTCTGGTCAGAGTGAATCCCAAACCACCGTTCAATGACACCATAATCTTGAACAATTACTATGGTCGCCAATTTAACTCTCTCAACGACGCCAAAGTGCATCCGCAGAGCCGTGCTATATTCTTCACAGACGTCACGTATGTCAACTTTATTACTACCTTGATAACTTGATTCCTACCTAACTCTGCGCGCAAATCAGCTACGGGTTCCACAACGGACTGAGGCCCGCGCCGTTGCTTCCGAATCAGGTTTACCGCTTCGACGCGGACACGGGCGAAGTGCGCGTCATCGCGGACGGGTTTCTCGCAGTGCAATGGAATCTTGTTCTCGCTCGATGGCAAGACGGCCTATATGTGCGTTGCGTTTCGCATGCACCCGTTCCGAGCGCTCATCCGCGTTTATTTACAGCGCGGACTCGGGCGAGACCCAAGGCGCCATCGGTGGTATCCAACCCACTCTGCCAGCGACGATGTGGGTGGAGCGAAATAACTAGCGGTGGTTGTGTCTTGATTCGTTTACAACAGATATGCATTCGACGTGCTGCCCGACACCCAGGCCTTCGCCAACCGCCGTGTGTTTGCTTTCATTGACACAGGTGTTCCCGACGGTCTGGCGCTCGATACCAACGGTAATTTATACGTCGGGTGTGGCGATGGGACCGAGGTACGTTTTTGAAAGACGCTGCATTGAATCACTGAAGACAATTCGGTGCACATAGGTGTTCGACCCGAAGGGCACGCTTCTCGGCAAGATCTTCCTCGGCGTTGGCTCATCGAACATGATATTCGCCGGCGCGAAGAGACTGGTTATCATGGCCGATACGAGGGTCTTTCTGGCGGAGATTGCGGCCGAAGGAGCGAATCTGGATTTGTGAATTTGCTGTTCGTGTTGTAACAATTTTATTTCGTGATTTATGCATTCCAACCGTGGCCGCGAGGAGATTTCGGCCGCACGACTTGTAACCGTGTAGTCATCCGAACTCGCAAAACAACTGTGCAAAGTAGTTAAACCAATTGTCTCGAAAAGGAAGGTGGTTGAATTTTACAAATTACTTCGAAACGACTTCAAAACAACCCCCGCCCGCCGGTCCACTGACCGGAAATATATTTTAATGGCAGAATCAGATGAGACTTTCGCGTATGACAACGGGACGCTCTGTCGACACGTTAAGTTGGAGGGTCAGACGGGTTACTGAGACGTCTTGTTATAATAGCAAATTTAGTCTTGTAGTCTTGGAGCGTGTATTGGGAGCCATGAAGTGTAACCAAGGGTGTAGCAGTCATTTTATACTAGCTGTGCGGGCGGTCATGATAGTCAACGTAGCACAACTTGCTGCTCTGGATTTGTGTCTAAAGGAAAGTAATCAATCTCACCCGTCTTCGCCTCCATCGTCGGCCCCCCCAATATTGCGCACTGAGGAGGGAGTCGGATCCGCTATTATCTAAGACATCATGGTCGGGGGTATTGGGGTATTGGGCTCCAGGCTCGTACATTGGAGACAAAGTCCGACGCGCAGAAAAGCCGACTGAGTCGAGTCTCGTCATTACTGGGCTGGGAATACTTCGAATGACATGCAGTTCATCAAAGGGCGCCAAAAAGGTGTGGAGCAGTGAATCCCGTCGCAAACCCACGGCACGGGTGACGGCAGGCAAGAGCGGATTCGACGAGCACCAGAATACTTGTTGGAAATTGGAATCGAGAGAAGGAGTCGTGGTTGCTATATCTGTCTCGACCCTGACCCACTCGTAAACGGTCTGGAGGGTGGTAATGTCCGAGCGTCGTCCTCGAACTTGATAAAAAATCTCGTTGCCTCATTTCGATCATGGAGCAGGCATTCAAAAATTGCGCCATGAGGCCACAAATTGAATCGTGGCGGGGCCTGCCTCGCCGTTTCCACATGTCAGTAGAGACCGCCCCGACATATGCGGCGTTCATTGTCAGGCCTGAAGGTATTGCGTGCGAGATAACGCTGGGATGCCGTCGAGATAGAGTGAGAACTTCATTAATATTGGAATTGTATCCTCGAGCCTCAAGTCGCCCTATCTCTTGCAATTATTCGCATGTAGTTGGACTGCCAGCACCCCAACTTGTAGGCGGGTCTCCGCGATCCCGAGATGTCCTGGTGTTTCGTCCTGATTTCCGAGGTGTAGAACAGTATTTTCCTCGAGGTTTCCACACCGGTGTCATCTGACGGTCTTCTAATTCACAGCGATACTAAGCGCCGGAGATGGCGGGAGAAGGCAAAAGACGAACAGACCATGACCTATCGCATCAAATTTCATGCACCATCACTGTACAATGGCGTGGCTGTAACGGCCCTAAGCCGGGAATGTGAATTGTTGATTTCATCGACATCACTCATGAGTGCGCTGGTTCAAGACCGTCCCCTCCAGAAAACTTGGTTTTCACAATTCCCCGCATCGGAAGATGTGGCCCGGATTTGGAATAATCCGTCCTTGTCAGGCCAGGGAAGCAATTCTGCAACCTGCAGGACTCGCCGAGTTAGTCTTCGGAGACAAGGGCTGGTCGTCAGACGCGCGATGAGCCGAGCTAATCACAAACCTTTTTGCTTTTCGTTCATTGTTTTGTTTTTATTTCAAGTCTAGATCTTCTTACCTCGCCTTTCCACCCATCTACCCCCCCCCCCCTCACAACAATTCCGTCCAACTATGATTCAAAAGTGGTGTACATGCGGCAAGACTACTAATTAACAACCGAGAGCGGCGGGGTAACGGAAAAAAGCGAAAGCACCAAGCAGGATAAGAAACAACAATAGGTGAGTAACATCTAGTATAGCGACAGAGAGAAAGAAAACAACACAGGTGCGGGCGCTGCGCAGCGGCACAGGCTTTTGGCCATAAATAAATATTCCCGAGGGAAATCGCGAGATGCCAAGGGCGACAGGGTAGAGGGAAGCAAGAGGTCACCGAGAAATGAATCCGATTAGTTTCGTTCCGACGTTCGTTTCGCTCGCTCATTCGTTCCGTCCGTCCGCGTCCGTGTCTGCGCCCGCATTCACCCCACGACCAACACCAGCGAAACCCAATAACTCATTGCTTGCCGAGCTCCATCCCCACGTC